ACTTATCATTCCCAGAGATATGATGCATGAAGATATAAAGATCGATGCAATAGCCGGCAGGTCTTCTATATGTTCGTTGGGTTGACAGGAACTATTCATCTCACTGGCATGACCCGAAAGGTGGCGGGAGTATAGGCAGACTTATCCAATTAGACCTGTTTGGATCACATTAAACTAATACTACTTGGAGCAATCATCATTTCTTAAATTTCCTTTTTCCGAGACATACATACGTACTTTTGTTTCATAGGACTTCAACCCACAGTTTACGGAATAAAGTACGACCAAAAAAGTGGGTATGATTCATACAGATGGCATATGCAACAAGAGCCACTTGTGCCCATCGAGGTAGCACGCTTATCAACAGGGAACGGCATGACGCCAAACACCTGTGTATGTTCGTCTGCACGGTTTTTAACGATATTGAATGCAGTAAGTTCACACTGTGATACATTTCAAGATCCATTTTGACAGCTAGAACGTTATCTTTCCCAAAGCATCAACAAAGTGGCTACGCCTCAAACGCTTCGGTCTGTATTCCATTCTTACATCTACGTGTTGTCGGTAATAATGCATGTCGGATAGCTGAAGATGAGACGGACGCCCGCGTCCAAGAGCAACTTTGACAACTCCATGACGCCATCAAAGCGCACACTCCTGCTGAAAGAACGACTAGAGGTTCAACGCTTTCTCCGGGAAATGAGGACGCAGGGTAACTTCAAAAGGTCTGCCGCTGCTTTCGTCGGTTCAGCCAAGGCGGTAAAGCCGTTGGCGAACAAGTCGCGCAACAACGTTCCCTACCTCGCGGGCACGTTGGTCGTGTCGAAGCCGGTGGAGAGCGCTATCTAGGAAGATCGCCTCCCAAACCTGGCGAGCATCGCAGACACAGCATACATATATATATATATATATATATATATATATATATATATATATATATATATAGGGGAAAAGACAGCCCGGCGCATAGTGCAAGAACTCGGTTCCACAAAGGTGTGCTGCGCCTGTGTATCTCATGCGGAGCGAACGACGCACGTGAAGGCCGCAACGAGCGTTCTACGTACTTATTACGCAACAAAGAGGAAACAGTTGATTGAACCCAGTCGCCGCCCTCGATGGCATGTGGATGAGATTGATAATCTGACAGGAGAGGGAGAGAGAGCAAACGATGGAAGACGAAAAATGCGTCAATGAAGTTTGACAGCCACGCGTGAGGTGCGCGGTGATTTTCAATGCGCAGGGCATCGTCGATGCAGAATGTCTCAGGACAAGACCACATCATCAACTCCTTCCGCCACGTCACTCCCCGACGGCAGCATTTCCAGCGGACGAATCGAGAAGCGAAGTAAGGTACTTGTCCTGCACTATAACGACACCGAGCCGTACGCTTTAAAAAACCTTTCGTCTGCCAGGCAAGATGAGGGATTGATGAGGCCAACCATCCGCTCTATTTGCCCCATCTGGCCCGACCCAACTTTTTTTTTTTTTTGCTCTTCAGACTGGAGAACCGTGTGTGATTGGCAGTTCTTGGTGAGGGGGGGGGGGGGGCTCGGGGGGGGGGGGGGGGTCGCAGAGATAAAGGATGCTGTGCACGGTTGCGCTTGCGCAGGTGTCGTGTCGTTGTCGGGGCTCGGGGGGGGGGGGGGGGGGGTCGCAGAGATAAAGGATGCTGTGCACGGTTGCGCTTGCGCAGGTGTCGTGTCGTTGTCGTTGTATTAGCGGCTTTACGAAGTGCTCAGCAGCTGAGCCTAAATGGCACCGCCGGCCTCCCACGCCCGGCAGGCAGGGCGGCTACCGCGGTGAGTCGAGCCCCGGCTTCCCACACGCACAGTGAAACCCCGCGGCACAGGCCCCTCGTGAATTTGTCCAAAGTGGGCTCATGCTGCCCTTTATGGAATGGAAGAAAGGTTGGAGACGTGGATTGTGGTCGTCGTGGGGAGTGGGTGGCAAAGTGACTGTTTATGGGCCTTGAACATTATTTGGTCATGATATGCTTGGCTTCATAAATTGCAGGTTGCTTCATGCAGAAACATAAATAAATCATATTTTTTGGGAGAACATAGAATTTATTTTCAACTCGATGTTTAGCCATCTGTGTGTAATGTTTCAAGTAAACTTGTCTGACAAGATATGTGTGGGTGTTCAACTGTACATGCAATTTAAGCAATGTCTTAAATAATCTTCAGCTAAGAAGCCTGCTATGATCTGGTGGGGATCTGGATACACAAGAACTGTTGTGAACTGCCAAACAAGGACACAGTTATATATTCTCTACTGGCAAATATTTACTTGTCATAGTCCAAATGGATGCCTCTCCAATTCCCAGTTCTTCTGTCCCATCATCACAATTGGCCTATTTTATACAATGTATCAAAAAGCTTTCTTCTCACTCCCTGAGCAGCCATACCAACTCTAATAATCTGCAGTGGATTATGTGGAATGCTGCTGACTCAGAATGCTGATGAGAAATGTGCAACTTCCTGAACATACTTCATAGACTAAACAGAGCCAAAAACACACCCAAAAAGATATCAGAAGCAAATAAGCTTCATGACAGCTCCCACTGGCAGGCACTAAAAATACTACAAAACCTTGTGATTCATCATTAATCTGAATGCAAGGGTCAAGAGCATGGCTGAAATTAGTATGGGTGCAGTTAAAGAGCAGCATACCTGGATAGCAGACTGCCAAGGACAAGACAATATTGGTACATGACACCCAATGATGTTGCAAATAATATACAGATTTACTATGCATATTTGTTCACAAATTACATGATTGAAGGATATACAGATACATTAAACACATGATTAATGTACCTGTCATTGCATAAGGGATCAAAAGATGATTGAATAAGTTTGAGTTGCTGTAACAAATCATTATTAAACATAAAGATGGGTGTATTCTACCTTTATTGGTTAAAGCTTTGCTGCACATATCCAGTACTCCAAATCAGTTTATCTGGTTGGAAATGTATTATACCTGCTTAATAAAATAAAAGAACACTCACACATTGCATGGCACTGAAGTCTGTATGAGAGTGTGATTGCAAGGTAATAGTAGGCAACAAGCACATGGGCATTCCATTTTAGGACCACAGAACTTTTAATCAGCACATAAAATTATCATATTTGATCAGGTGCTTATTTCAAACACAAGCTTACAGTAAAAATATGTTACATCATCAACAACATTGGCATATGCCTAGCATGATGAAAATCCACTCACAATAGTTGCATCTTCAATTCATTTCTTTCTAATCCACAACATCCATTCATTCATTTGACATTTGTTCATATTCTGGATGTTCCTAAACAGTTACATCAACAACATTATGCTTTTTTCAAAACTTTTTGTACATTTACCACATGATCTAGTTCCATGCATAACCACACACAAGATGAAACAAAATACTCAATGTCTGTGTGTAACTGATCTGAGATGTCATGTGGTAGCACATTCCCCTATCCAATCCATTAGTGATGCAACTTTTGGTACTGTGCTTGATAGAGGCAATAATTACAGCATATAAACAATACAAATGTTAAGACAAGATCTAAAAGTACCTGACAACATTATTCAAACAAGAATTCAATACTGATTATAATGAAGCATACATTATCTTACTGATACAAACCATATTCTTGCCTGCCATTCTTAACACCATGATTATTTGCCACATACTAGTTATATTTATGGTGCTTGTGCTCTGTGACTGATCTGTATTATACAAGCTTTGTTTTTTTATCACATTTAGTCCTCTCACATAACACCTTGCATGATAACTGTGCCAAACCACTAAGTTTTACCTGCCAATAGTTATGCAAGCATTTTAACACCTAACACTTAATGCAATCTACTGCCATTAATGATGACCTCACTAAAGGTCAGATAATGTCAGAGGGCATGACAGACCATCCTAAGCATTGTGGTACATTAAACTTTTGAAAATTCTTTGATTGATCTGCAATATCACAATAAGATGGCAAATGCTCCAATATTCAGCCACCTGAGTAGCAAATGTACCAATATTTTTCATGCTATTGCACTCCCAGGTTGGGGTTCACTATCTGTTGCCCTTTCCCTTGCACAAAATCAACCAATCAGCATTGAACCAGTGGCTAATCTGGCACCTTGGTGCCTGAGGCTTTATCAACAAACCAGGTCAATCAGATGTCTGGGTATGGGTCAGATGCCAACAGATTACCACCAAAAAATAGTCTGTGGAGGCCACCACACAGCCAGAACTTTCATCACATGCATTGATATTTACAACCAACATGCACTGCTGGAGGATTTTGAAATGCTGGCTGGCAGCCAGAGCTGAAACAACAATCAGCACTTGATAATAAATCTGATGTCAGAAATCTACTCATTTCAAAGGTTCACAATAAATGCTTCTAATAGGTTCACTTTAGCACAATCCACAAGTAACAGTATTGTGTTTGAGTGAAGACAAGAGATTTGAAAGAAAATCATCTCAATATGTTAAATGAGGCAATCAAAATTTTAGGGACTGTTATTGAGTATGCCCCACTTTCTGCCACTGCAGTCGAAACATGTAGTGGGCTGTACAATGAAAGGTCCAGCATGCTTTTCTGCCCATCCAACAAGCATGATAATTTAAAGGGTGGAACCTAAAATATAGTTAAGACATGTAGAAGCAAGATAAAAGGTTTTTTTCAGCACACTGCAGGGTTCTATTCACATGTATTGCATTAAAACCCTACAACACACCCACCCACCTCCCATGCACCCCCCCCCCCCCTAATTGGGATCAAAATTCAACAACCAACCAAAATAGAGAGCAAACCAGTACGCCACAGAACATCAAGCTGAAAGTAACTTCAACCAGACGTTGAAGTACAAATTATAGTGGCTGGACTGCTCCAGAGCAGGCCGCAAGTCGTCCCAGTAAACACCAGCATTTTTCGACAAGCCAGAACGATGGAACTGCGTCGTAATTGACGCCACATCCCAAGCTGGGTCAGCCAACTTACCTGGGAGGGAATCCACACAGATGAGACGATCTTATTATGTAATTCGCATTTTTGCTCACGCTAGCCCGAGCATACAATGGTGAAAAATGCCTTCAGCGATAAAATGCAAGCAACACCTTCCCGAGGCTCACCGTCGCATACCCACAGAGAGTACATTCACCCGTCTGACTGTAGTGATGATAAACTATGGACGACAATAGAGCAAATGTGAAAGAGCACAGCTCATATTAAAGAGATTTCTGTGACCCTTTCGGAATTTTATATATGAATTTTTATTTTTGGTAAAATTCAATATTTTCAAAACCACATGGCAGGTTCACGAACGTCTTCTTATGGTTAGAAATAACATGCGGCTAGCATATAGCGTACCCCGTTTAGCGTGAGAGTGACTGGCATATTGCATAATAAGGAAGGAGTGTTCTAATAGTTCCAAAAACTGAGCGTGGTAAGTTCAGTATACGTTGCAATGACTGCCTGCTTGAATTTCGTTCTTCAGCCATGTAATTAAATTCTTGTGCACGTAATCTGATCTATATTTTATATTTACATTTTAAGTCATTTTGTATCTTCTCGCGTGTCGTAACGCGCTTACAAGATGATACAGGGGCGCTGGAGGGGCTGAGTCTCAGTCATCAACTTTCTAAAGATTTAGCGTTGGCCTTGTGTGCAGGAGCTGAAAAGTCACCATAAATCGATAACAATCTCCGAATTTGGGAGAAGTTGCATTGACACTGGAGCAAGATGCGATGATTTAGTGTTTAAAATCTTGGACCCTCTTGCGGGAGGCCCGGTTACGAACCCCGATTATGGCATGGCCCTGGGAGCTCATTTAGTTATTGTAGAATTCAGCAAAGCATAACTTTACCAGCAAAGACACTGGCAGACCATGAAAGGCGGTCCACGCGTCGCGTGTCGCTTGAAAAGTCAAAGTATACCTACGCTTGATCACAAGATTTCTGGAAACTCGAAACCAGAATTTCCTAACCTAACCATGCGTTTCCAAATGCACACAAACCCAGACATGGACAATTATGTGTCATCCCGTAATATGCAAATAACCCCAAAGGATGCATTTGTGCATGCAGATCTGTTCTCTCAGTTCATCAGGCTTCTAGGAAGTGCTCAGGACACAAAAAATCCTCTAATGGAAAACAAAGATAGGTTAACCCACAAGCTGCACGCAAAATTTGGAATCTTCTGGGGCGCCGATTTATTGTCCTGACACATGCCATAGGCATGGACACTACGACGTAGAAGCACGCCAAGCCTCAACCGTACAGTGGCACCTGTCGGCGCTTGTTGACACTTTACGTGCACAAATAACCACGAGACGTCGTTTATTGATATCGTGTCCAAGCGTTGTGCGTTTACGTTGCCCACGAATATTTTCCATTTCCGTTTATCCTTGGCGGAAACTGTCCCCAGCTTCGTCTCGCATTTGTCATAAATAGTCTCACCGAAGCCAACAATCGGCCTTATGCACTGTGAAAAGACTGTCCGTCTCAACCACGCTCTGCAAATGATCATGATGTCTCCAGTGGGACGTAGAATCTGTGATCTGTGGAAATCTTCCGTGTTGACGGTGACGAAAGCTTTTCCGGCACAAAGTTCACGATTTCGGATAGCTATCTCCGGGCATCGGGTGACCGAACGCGACCAAAAGTAGCCGGTCAAGACCACTAATAGACGCTAAAACACACGTGTCTATTTTTTAAGAGCGTTTCTATAGCGATCAGTCAGATGCAACGCCGCGACGCCATTTACCTGCTTTACGCTGGTAAGTGGCGTCGCGTAAAAGCAAGACGTGATTGGTTTGACACTGTAGAAGCTGAGAGCCACTTTGTTATTCTGTTGTTCAGTCCACTACATTTTTTTGCGGGATGGACAAGTTCATCCCCTCCACTCCACAACCGGATTATTTGTGCCGAAATTTCAACGAAAAATCGGTAATACAGGCAGCTCCAGACGTTTCTTTTTGGTATGCGCCATGCTGTGCAAGAGGGTTTTCAAAGGCAAGGATGCACGGTGCACTTCTGTTGCATCATGGAATACAATAAAGACAGCAGGCTCATTCCTTTTGTCATGCACGTAACAGGCGCGGAGTGCGGATACAAAGTCCCTGGTAGAGACGCCCTCAGGTACTGGAACTGGGGGAACGCACCGTCGCATTGCCCTCATGTTTTGGCGGGTGCTTTCGGCGTATATTGAAAAGTTTTCATAATGTAAGTATTGCGTCAGATTTTCGAGAAAAAAGATCACGGCAAGTGGCTCCGACTCTCCCTTTTCGTTAGCCGTCTTTTCTGTTTGAGGCCCAATGAAAGCTATCGTTTGTGGTATATTTTCGATGCATTTAGGGCAAGCCTGCAGATAGGTAATCCACTTATGCAGCCGTATACGTACATCACGCAGCATTTGCATCACACAAAGTTGTCGGCAATACAAACATTTACTTTAAGAAGGAGGAGTCAAGCGACAGAATTTGCCGCCCCCCCCCCCCCCCCGCAAGCTGAGGTGTATTGCACAGCCCACAGCGAATAAGGCTAAAGTAAAAGAGTGGATAGATACGGACACTTGCAGCGGCTATGACGCCACCAGATCACAAATTCCCAAATGAATGGGCCAATCGTATGAAATGAATACAAATCGTTCATAGCCAT